TACTCCATCATTCCCATCATTGTGCAACCCCATCATTTCCATCATTTGTACTTCATTATTCTCACGCCACACATTTTTCACACTCCTATCTTCGTACCACCTTACCGATCCTTCGCCGTTACCACAGTATAATAAATATACATGTATATAAATAATTTATAAAGTATATTTTATTAATAAAAATAAATTATATGCCTTATTTTTATTGGCCAAAACAAATCATGTATTACTAATGTTGAACACCACTAGTGTGATTTAACAATGTTATTAAAATATGTATTTATTTACATATTTATTCTATTAAAAAATTCTACATGTATAAAATCAAGGTTAATAATTTATGCATTTAAATTTATTAAATAATAAATACTTGTTAAAAGTCTCAAACCTTTTGAAATCTATATGGTATAAGTCTAGAAAGAATTTATATTCATATAAATATTCAAAAACATACATAATTTTTATTTTCTATTATAATTATATAATTAAGAAAATGCAATTTTTAATTAAGTATATGATTCCAACTGATTTGAAAACTAATCTACCAATTTACTATGTTTCTTGATGTTACAAAGAAACATAAATCATAATTAATTTTGATTAGCATTATTTATTTGATTATTTTATTGTGTTACAACTCACAATAATTAATGAGATTCACCTTAAATATCAAGAATTATGGAGTCAAATCAGCTCATATGAATAAATTAATACTCCTAACAAATTGAATCAACCCAAATTAACTTAAATCTTAGGACTCTAACTCCTGAATCAAATCAAAAAGTATGATCCTAACTTCAAATTAAATAACTGTGACTCTGAATCAATTAAAGAAATTTTTTTCATACAAAATGTGTAAAAAATTTCAAAAAACAATTTTTATTAAAATATAAAGATAATTAAAACAGTATATTGTAAAATATTTATAAATATATTTACCATTAAATATTTAAAAATCTAATATATAAATAATTATTATGGTACTAATAAAATATATGTAAAATGATCCAAAAAAACAATTTTTATTAATATACAAAATATCCTTAAAACGGTAGTTTTCGAGAACATATAACATTTATAAAATATTTTACTGTCAAATATCTCAAAAACTAATGTAAAAATGATTACTGCAATACTAATAAAATAAGTGTAAATAACATAAGGGATAATTTTTATTAGTACATTATAAACTTGGTCAACTCCCGAGTTTAAAAATTATTGACCCTAACCCGATTCGATTCGTACTCCCGAATCGAGTTACACGGATTAACCCGGGTCGATCCGACCCGTTAGGAGCACTACAATAAATTATTGATTCAGTTCAATTACAATTATTAACTCCTAACAAAAAATTTTAAAATAAAAAAAAAAAAACAGATTATTTTGTTTTTCATTAAAAAAAGTCAAAGTTTCAATGCAATAATTATGGTTTACATTTTAATAATACATTGGCATCTAGAAAGATAACTAAAAATAATTTTATTTTTCCCAACTGACAATAATAATGAAATTATTTTTTGTATCACCATTATTGTCATTAAACCTTTTTTAGAAATGCACTAAAAGTTGTTGACTGTCCGCCGTCACTGTAGTTAAATAATAAAACATGGCTCCTCCACATCTACCAAACGATGTTGTTCAGAATATACTTGCTTATTTACCAATTAAAGATATTTTTTCCTTGCGAAGAGTTAACAGAGATTGGTATTCTATCTATGAACATGCCATTAAACAACATTTATCTCTTTTCAATGTCAAAATATCAGTTACGATTGGACCACAAAAGAAAACCATAGAACCCTCGCTTTCAGTTGCTCTCGAATGTGTTGGTTTCGATTTAGATTCAAGGGTTTTTACTTTCACACCTATCCCTAATGCCAAACCCATTTATTGTAAACCAAATCTGCTTCGTCAAGTAAAAATATCGTTTGACGAATGGAATACAAAAAATAGTAACGGAAATACTACTCCATTAGAAGGTACTCTGGAAACTGATGACAATAGTTTGAATATAGGATACATTGAACATCCATCAGATCCACAAGCTCAAGAGCTTTTAAAATACTCAAATCTTCGATTCCACAAATTTTATGTTGAAGCTGAAAAAAAGTCTTATTACTTAGAGGAGACACCTGAGAAAGATGGAGAAATTGAAACATATTTAGGTGATAGAGATATGATTTTAAAATGTAATATCAAAGATTCTGTTATTCCTGAAGAAGAAATTTTTGGTGTTGATGATGAAGAGGAAGAAGATTTAGAATCAAATAAATATTCTTCTGTTGAAGTCGAATTTGTTCAAGTTCTTACATCATGGCTTGTTGGAGGGACCACTATAAATAAACTTCCTCAAGAATTTCATAAACAAATATATCCTCAAAGATATTGCCTTCTTGATAAAATCACTTCTGATGATAGCATTTTGAGATATAATCGTTATTGTCCATCAGTATTAAAATGGATATTATCAGATAATTTAAAAGATGATAGTGAAACTAAGCAACTTTGTTTACATCTTCATGTTACAAAAGGAGATTTCACTATTCGAGATAAATTTGAAGAAGCTTTAGAAGAAAGAAGTATTGACAGACAACTTATGTGGAAGTATTCATTTGTTCCAAGATTTTTCGTTGATCCCGAAAATTCTTCTGATACTTTTGAACAAATTTTAGATAGATTTTCCAGATCAGTTAAAAGTGAAGATAAAAATAGATCCCCAAATATGAGTATTAATAACAAAACTTCAAATACAAATAAGAGCACAGATAATACAGATAATAATAGTAAAACTTCAAATAGATTTTTTGGTTTAAGACTTCCCGGATTTTCATAGTGAATTCAGCCTTCTTTGATATGTTATGTAAAACATATTAATACATAGGTTTTATTATTCTATTATTATTATTATTATTTCGAGTTAATAAAATAATTTAGATAATTTAAAATATATAAAAATAATTTAAGAAAATAATTTATTGAAATTTATTTAATTTATTCAATTTCTTCATGAAGCGGGATGACTAACTTTCGTTGTGGTAACATTTACAGAAGATTTACTTTGATTTTGACGATATCTATAATGAATAAACGTATAAAGATTTTTTAAATGCTTATTCTAAGTTATTCCAAGAAAACATTGAAAACATTAGGAAAACAGAGAAAATATTTAAAGAAAAACAATGACCTATATATCCTGAACAATTGGGTTACACCTGTCCCTGCCAGAAACAAATTTACAGATAATAATGGATAATTTATAGGTATAATTTGAGTAGAATATCTTGACCAAATCAAACCAGTAGCTGTGAGAGCTAATTAGACAATAATAATAATAATAATAATAATAATAATAATCATCAATAATAATAATAATAATAATAATAATAATAATAATAATACTAACCAATATTTTGAGATACTGATAAACTTTCTGCGGGACGTTTTAAATCACTTATGCCAGCTATAACCAGACCCTAAAATTTAAAGTATTTGAAAATGAAATTCATTGTAATAGTAATATTTCTAATATATTCTTATTTACTGTTAAAATAGTACTGACCCATTTCATTATTGGTGCCCAAAAATGAATAGTTTTTGGTCCTAGGAATATCATAAATATCATACGGAATGAATTAAATAAGCATAATTTTTTCTTTGGCTTTTTTTTTTTTAATTAAAAATCAAAAATATGAACCTGCGGGATGATTAATAAATCTTTGAAACTTTGAAGAAGATAACGATGTGATCCCAGTAGTCATGTTGGAAATGTTGAAATTATGGAAGGATTATGAATTTTCAGATTTGTAAAGGTTCGTTATAACTTAAAGGATTATGGATGTTCTAAATTTGTAAAGATTCGTTATAACTTATAAAGGGATTGGCTGAACATCATCGTTAATCTGATAAGCGTAATGCATAAGCGCGTTTGTAAATAATAATAAATATGGATTCGACCGAGGCTGAGTTTGAGGCACCAATTCTAAGGAGTGGCTCATTCATTTTCATTGTTTTTTTATTTGGTTTGTTATCCACTCAACCTTCTCACCTTGTGAAAAAAAAAAACGGGATGATTGGGAAAACACAATTTTTAGTGACTGGCATGTTAATAAGTGGTGTTGCAAACACCATTCTTAATAAACTTCAAGACATACAATGCGTTGCCAATTGTGATGATCCAAATACTGCTGAATATTTTGAACAACCTGTATGGCAAACACTGAATATGTTTATTGGGGAAACGATGTGTTTTATAGTTGTTTACATTATTCTATTATGGGACTATCAAAAAGAGAAGAGAGCGTCGTATACACCTTTGGAAGCCGAAGCTATAATAACCAATAATGACCCAGGAATTGTGATAAGTACTGATAGTGATTCTCGGGATTCTCGAGATTCTACGATAAAAATTAATGATGAATATCTTGGACCAGATGAAGATTTGACTGGCTGGAAAATATTTTTGTTTTGGATACCTACGATTTGTGATATTATGGGCACTACGGTATGTGAAATATTAATCATTTCTTCTACATTTTTTAAATTACAATATTTTATTTTTTCATCACAGTTTTGAATTTCATTTAGCTTATGAATGTTGGTTTAATATATACTTCTGCATCAGTTTATCAAATGCTTCGTGGTGCTGTTGTTCTATTTACTGGTACATTTTCGGTTTTATTCCTTCGTCGACGTCTTCTCCCTTATCATTGGTTTTCTCTATTTCTTGTTGTATTGGGAGTTTCAATTGTCGGTATGAGTAGTGTACTGAAATCTACACCAGTTGAAAATGGTGGTCAAAGTCAAAATATTAATGGAACTTTAAAGCTTAATGATGAAATTGATACTGGTTCAACTTTGATAAATTCCTCAACCGAATATATATCAGATAAATCGGATGCAATTTTTGGAATTTTCTTTGTATTATTTGCACAAATATTTACCGCTGCACAATTTGTTATAGAAGAAAGAATCATGGAAAGATATCGAATTAAACCAATGCGAGCAGTTGGACTTGAAGGGATTTTTGGATTAATAACAGTAATATCTGGAATGATTATATTATATTTCTTAGTTGGTACATCACATCCGGGAGGATATTTCGATATTCCGGTTGGATTTAATCAAATTATCAGTTATAAACAAATTTGGATTGCTGGTATTTCGATTTGTTTCTCAATAGCATTTTTCAATTTTTTTGGTTTGAGTGTTACAAGAACCATTAGCGCTACTGCTAGATCTACTATTGACACCAGTAGAATTGTATTTATTTGGTTGGTTTCATTATCTCTTGGATGGGAAACATTTTCTTGGTTACAAGTTTTTGGTATATTTTTAATTTTTTAATTTTAAATTTTTAATTTTAATTTTTTATGTTCATGTTTTTATTCAAATATAAATAATACTAATTAATCTTTTATCCCCAAAAATTAGGATTTATTATTCTTATTTATGGAACCTTTATTTTTAATAATGTTGTTAGCCCACCTTTATGTTTCACTGTACCACCACCTCAAGTTAATGAAATTCAACCTTTACTTATTGAAGATCATGAACACATTTAAATTTGTTTCTTTGTATACACAATTCAATTTAGTAAAATTGAAGATTTATTATAGAAATGTTAATAAACCTATATTTTATTATTATTATTATTATTATTATTATTATTGATTCAGTAGTTTTTGGAGATATTCTATGTAATCATACAAATATATGTTCTATATTTCATACCATAATGTTTAAAAATATCCAAGTTTTGCATGTGACTTAGGTTAATCACTGACCAATCACGACACGTCACACAAACTATAAATTTCTTTTGTAGCAGTCGATAATAGTCCGATAAATGCAAAAATGCATTCAAATTACTCTAGATCAATATATAATTCGAGGTCCTTAGTTCGACCAAAGTCTGGAGGTTCTTTTTTTTTTTCACTACTTCTTTGATAAATTGATAATATATTATATAATAAAAAATTATTTTTTTTTATTTTAACGTACAGCTATGTCAAGAGGAACCCCGTTTGATACTCCTGGTCAGCTAAAGTCAAAGTCAATCGGAACTCCTTTTGATGTCCCTACTCAAATTAGGCAGTTAACGCCAACAAACATTACATCGAATTCTAAGGATATTGTTACCGAATCTGAGGTGTCTACAAAAGATAATTTCATTACTGATTATAACAATAATTCTACAGATTCTGTGGTGGTAATTGCACAGGATAATGTTCCAACTACCAGCGGAACACAAAAATTTTCTTCTACCTCTGAGAATTTTTCCGAGGAATTTATTGAGAAAGAGAAAGGTTCCGTAGATATAGGTGATATAGGTAATGCATTATCACAAGGCTCTAACAGTAATCCCTCCGATAATGAATCAGAATGTACACCCGGGCAAACGGAGGATTTTTTAAAAAAAACCGCAAAACGTCATAAAAGATCTAATTCAATTGCTTCAGTTACATCAACTGCAACTGATGGATCTGGCGTTAGTGGTGGTAGTGGCAGTTCGACTAAGAAACGAAAATCGTTCAAAATACGTAAACTTAATAATAAAAAACGAACAAAACCCTGGGAGGATGATCCTGAAGAGGAAATTCCACATGATGATGCCGTTGTAACTATAGCAGAATTATGCAAGGATATCAAAAGAGGACGAAAGTCCTCTACTTTTAAAGAATTAGAGCTTGCCAAATATTTAAAAGCACATCAAAGACGTGCAAAACGTTTAAAACTTGATGATCTTAACGAATGCGATGAAAGTAACCCCGATGACGAAATAAGAAAAAAATCGAACGAAGATCAATTGCTAGAAGATAGCCAAAAAGATAATGATCTACAAGATAGTGATCATCAAGAAGAAAATTTCGAAGCCGACAATCAGGAAAATTCTGATGAAAATGATAATTATGATAATGAATATATTGAGGACGGAGAAGATAGCGAAGGAAATTATGAAGAAATGGGAGAATACGATCAAGAAATTAATGGGGAAGAATTAAACGATGAAGAAGAAACTAATAACGAGATTGGAAATGATAAGCCAATTTTTATGAAAAGGTATGGAAATTATCGTATAAATTTTTAAATTGGTTATTACTTAAATATAGAACACATTTCTTTAAATATTAGACGCACTTTTACGAATCGTGGTAGTCGATTCATAAATGACGATGGACAATACGTTGTTCGAGAAGATCCAAATGAACATCGTAACGTATTTAATCCTGAAGGGATGGAAGTTATTGAAGAAGATAAATTCTCTCATATCGTAAATTCTCATTCTTATGCAAAACGTCCAAGACGAAACGAAAGGTGGACAAATGAGGAAACGGAATTATTTTACAAGGCAATTTTTAAATTATTTAGCTTACCTTTCCTTTATATATATATTATAATTAGTAACCACTATTACAAAATTACAGTCATTGTCCCAATGGGGAACAGATTTTGAAATAATATCTCAAAAGTCGTTTAATAATACAAAAACGCGAATACAGATTAAAAACAAATATAAGCGAGAAAGAAAAATAAATCCTGAGCGCGTTAATGAAGCACTGGACACTCGTATACCTATTAGTATGTTCAAGTATTTTTAATGAAAATTTTATCCAAGGATTCCTTTAATATCATTGGATTAATATCATATTTCTTTCTTCAATAAATTAATACATTTCCATTCTATAACAGATGTTGAAGAGTTAAATCTATAAATCAATGAACATACAATTCATTTAAGAAACAATTATCAGGAATGAAAATTTTTTATGACTGATAAAAATGAGAACATTCAAGAAAATGAAGAATAAAGCGAGAAGGAAGGTACTCCAATTATGGATTTGATATTTCTGGTTCAAATTCTCATGATTTTTATGAAAAAGAATTGATAGCTGATGTACCCCGAGTGGTGATTATTTATTGCATGACGAGAAGTAGCAAAATTGAATGAATTTTCATTAAAGAGATAATTTGGTAATAAAATAACTAGAAATTTTCATGAGCGTGAGAGATAAAGAATTATTATTCAGAATATTAAAATAATGTTATTTTTAAATCCAATATATTCATAAAATACAAGAATAAATAAGTTGACAAAAATAAATAATAAAATAAGTTATCTATTTAGATAATAAAGTTTCAATTAATAAATTTTGAAGTCTCGATAATTTTAGTTCTCTCTTTGCGTTAAATTCACGTATTCTAACTTTTCTTATCCAGTTCACAAATTACTTATTATAATATTATTAGTTACGACCATTCTTCTGTATCCTTTAGCAATATGGATTCTGAATACATATAATCTTGGCATTTTTATGGTCGTCCATAGATTTCTTTAAAACTTCGATTTCAAAATAGAATTTATATTCTCATATTTTTAGATATTTTAAAAAATCAAAGAGTATAATCTAAATAATAATCCATCCAAAAATTCTTTTAAATAGAAATCATATTTCCTCAGGTTCAGGTATTGTTAATTTTAGAACTCGATATCTATCCGCAAGTTTTTTATAAGCATGCGGATGACCTTTTTTATGTGCCTTTTTCAGCCAATTTGCCCCTTGTTCCAAATCTTGAGTCACTCCGTGAGCGCCATTGATCAATAAATCACCAAAATTAAACATCGCACTAAGGTTTCCCTGATTTGCTGCCTTTTCTAAATTTTCAATAGCTATTTTGTCATTTTCTGCACTTTTAACAACCCCCTCACCATTAAGCAAAGCTACACCATATCTAAATTGAGCATCAGGAATATTTTTGCTGGCTGATCTACGAAAATATTCAACAGCCAATTCTTTGTTCTTGTCAACTCCGCGATCACCGGAAATGAGATAATAACCAACATAAAATTCCGCTTGCGGATCACCATTATCGGCGTGAAGCTTGAAGATTGGCCACGCCACACTATATTTTTTCGCACTATGCAACTTTTTAGCCTCACTTACATCAGGGTAGCCTGGTGGAATAGTCTGTAGGATTTCAAGATTAATTTGAGTAGAATCAGAGATATCAAAATTATCAATGATACCTTCTGAAATTTGAGAATCATTACTAGGACCATTCTCACTAGGTGATAATTCTTTTCCACTCCATAAAGAATTAATCGAATCTGGATTAATAGAAGGTTGTGAATTACTTTTGGCTAGGGAATCAATATTAGATGATTGATTAATAGAATTAAACATCGAAGAAGTTGAAGTGGATGAGTAAGAAGTGGAAGTGGATGAGTAAGAAGTGGGAGTGGAAGAGTAAGAAGAAGTGGAAGAGGGAGGATTTCTGGGATATGATGATTTTAAATTCTTCAATTCTTTGAAGATATTGTCCGCAGTTGGACGCTTTATTTTTCTTTGGTCCCATCCTTGGGTCATCATCTTTTCATAAGCACTAGGTGTACCTGGTATGAGAGGAGGACGTTCGTGTTTTTCGGTAATCATCTTTAATAAATCGTCATTGGATGGGATATTAGCAAATGGTAATTCCTGTGAGGCGAGCTCCCAGAGCACTATAGCAAAACTAAATTTAAAAAAATAGTAATTAATATAATCTCTAATTAAGTAATGAAGTTTAACTTAAAGAGAAATTTTTGTACCTGTATATATCGCATTGCTTTGTATATTCATTTTCGGTATAGTTGATAAGCTTTTCTGGAGCTAACCATCTTAAAGGTGAATGTGGATAAATCTTTAAATAAAAATTCTAAAATTTATATGGAATTTTATTACTATTCAAAATAATAGTAAATTACCTGTATCTTAATTGAATATCCTTAATTTGTCTTGAAGCATCGGTTTCTTTACGAGCTGAACTAAAATTAGAAATTTTCGCTGTCAAATTTTCTGTCAACAAAATATTGTGACTGAATCGATAAAGTAATAAAAGGTAATTAGAGGATGTTGCGGGTTTAGAAGATAAATGTCAAATGCTATGAAAAGATGATACCTTCTTATATCGTGATGCAAAATATTGTATACGTGGCAGAAAGCCAAGCCACCAGCAATTTCCGAGGCAATTCTAATTTTGAATTCCCAACTTAAATTCTTATGAACTTTCAAATAATTATTAAGGTCACCTTCTTCAGCCCATTCTGAAATAATGTAAAATTTACCGGAACGTAGCATAGTGCCATAACTAAATTATACCAACATTATTAGTAAATACTTGGAGTACAACCTTGATTTTTGAATAAAATGCTTACAATGTTATAATATTTTGACAGTTTTTTAATTCCTTTAAAATGCCAACTTGTCTATCAACAATGTGTAGATTTGATGGAAAGATATTTATTTCTTTTTGACAAACTGTCTGAGCGATATACATCTTTTTCACTATTTGGCCTGAACCTCTTTTCACTTCTTCAGAATCGTCGCAACAAGTGATTTGGCTACAATCAATTCTAAAGTGTTCAGAGGATTGTAAATGCTGTAATTCTCCTTTATTAACATCGACAACAGCTTCGTGAATCTTTTCCAACTTATTTTCAAAAGCCATCAACTTCTGTTGAGTGTTCATCCCTTGTTCCCATACATCCTTCATAACTTCTTCCATAACGTTCAAGGATGTTTTTATTTCAGACTGGAAGAGCTTTCTGTCATCACCGATTTCTTTTCGCGTTCGCACAATTTGTATAAGATTTAATTGTAAAATCGCAGTATCAAGATCTTCAGTAATATCTTGATATTGATTATGGATCTGATATCCGAAAAAAAAAAAATCAATAATCGGAAATTTGATTTATAGTATTCTAACTATAAATATAGATTACCTCATGAGATGTAATTAATTTTATAAAAGAACCAGACTCACTGATATCTTTAATAAATTCTTTAGTTCTCTTTACTGCTCTAACATAACTTTGAAAAGCTAGGTCATTCTCTTCCTTTTTTATCTCTGATATTATTTGGTTTGCAACGCGTATACGTTCTGCCAGTCTTCTACATACTTTTTTATTGTGTCCAGCCTTTTCCACTAAGTCAATTATTTCCCGAAATAGGGATGTTATAATACTAACAATAGGAACTAGATTTCCACCATCCACTAATATTCGAGCTGCTGGATGAAATAATGAAGCTGCTGCCTTCTTGGTATTATCAATTTTAGACATCAGTAATTTATTTATTGGTGCGCAAGAAACGCAAAATATTTATTAAAAAGTTCACGGAATGAAGTTCCGAATAGCATACGTTGCGGAGTTTGTTTTCAAAACTCCGTCGCATACAGAGTTACACTGGATAAAATGGAGACAACATTTTTTACATAGCGAACTTTTGTGATTTGTGCCTGTTTTAGAAATAATGAACGCGATTGTTCGAATTTCAAATTTATCCACTAATGTTAAAAATTAAAATATTTATTAAATTACTATATAGAAAAAAAAATAAAAATAAAACAAGAAACATCATCAATTCTTCCCTTCCCTCAATGAATGAATGGTTATCATTTTATATAAAATAAATAAATCATCAAGAATTTTAAGTCCAATGACATTAACAATGACATATCATATTGACATCATATTAACATCATAATTAAATCCTTGTCTGATTGTCCTTGTTTTTTGATGGTTCTACAAGAATAATATATTAAATATAATAAATAATAAAAACACCATAAAGTCTATATGTTCCCCTCTCACGGGACTTAACAGCAGTTCAGTCTTGGACAATGCTTGGACATTATGTAATAGGCCCCCCATACTGCTGCCAGTGGTAATAAAATGCGCACACCTCAAAAACAGGTTCCATTCCATGTTCCTTCAGACGAAAAGTTTTCTTGGTCTCTACAATACTAGTAATAATCAAAGAAACTAGTATGTCCCTGGTTCAGTTTCCTTGAAAAATTGTCCAGAAGGATAAAAAAGAAGAGAGATTGAATTATTGATGCGCTTTCAAGTGAAAATTATAAATTCATTATTGTAATGATCTGCATGTCAACCCTGCGTACAAAATAATGGAAAAATTAAGATGATGTGATAGTTACACAAATATAAACAATTCTCGAAGGGCAATACAAGTGAGTTTTGGCTAATTCTTACTTATAAAATTAAATATTTGTTCAAATTAATTATTAATTCTATTTATTTGTAATCAATATTAAAAATAAACACTCCTTTGGATTTAATTGATTTAATTATTATTATTTTTTATTTTTATTTTTATGGGTTCTCTTTCTCCAGAAAAAAAGCTAAAACAAAGAACAATAGAAGAACTATTCAGAACTCCTCTAACAAAGAAACCAGTCAACACTATAAAAAGCGCACCAAAGAGTGCACCCATATCTCTTTTCAATTCAAAGACAAAAAGTTCGGCAGAAAATTCAAAGATAAAAAATGTAGGAATTCGTGGTGTTGGTGGGGATGGTAACATTGGTTCACCTCTTTGTCAGGGTATGTCCATGTCCACCGGTTTACCCTGTAAACGTCCAGTGATAGCCGATAATTATTGTTATCAACATAAAGTTCAAATTGATGGCCAAGGCACCTTTGGTATAAGGAAAAATATTGTGTCTTCTACATCAACACAGATTACACGTGAGGAAAACCTTAAAACAAAGAAAAATAAAGAAATCCGTGATAAGGATAAATCACAAAAAAAATTGGATTTTGGAGCAAAAAAGGACTCACCAAGTACCACTGTGATAATGATACGATTAGATAATAATGTTGAAGTCAAAATAACGCAATCGAGTGGAATCATGGAATCAACGGAAATTATTCAATCCGATATTAAGGAAGATGGATCAACTGAAGTCACTCGATCCGATATACCGGAAGGCGGATCAACGGAAATTACTCAATCAGATGCCGCCGATGTTGAAGTGCGTTTACCTCTTGAAAGTCCCGCTTTCCCTGATGACAGTTTTTTAGAGACAACAAATAAAGAGTTTTTCCGAACTCCAGCTTTCGTGACACCATCGAACGATTTGGAATTGGCACCTTTACTTTCTATTTCACCAACTATCACGAATAACCCCCTATATTTTGAACCAATAATTATAAGTGATGAAGAGGATTCTCCATCACCCCCAATTTTGACTCCAGTAAGAAATCAAAAATCTTCCAAAAAGCATCAAACATCCAGTATACCTTCCAATAAGACATTACATAATGTAAATAATGTTGGATCTGGATCAATAACTCCCACACGTTCGAGGAATCAAATTCACATTGATCTCACTACCGATTCACATTCGTCATTTATTCCGATTTCTCCATCAAGATCTTACGAACAAACTTTCTGTCGAGGAAAAAATATTAGAAATAATAAAAAATGTCCTCATAAAATCAAGCTTGGAGAGCAATATTGTCAACATCATAAACAGATAATGTTAGAACAAGCTGAGATCGAAAGAGCCCTCTTTGTTCCTGGAAGATCAAAAATAACGTGGGTTAGATTTAAAGGTATTATTATTTATATTTTATAATCATGTTTTATAACGAATTAAATGTTGTACAAATTAAATTAATTTAAATATAGATTGGTTAAATGATGAATTATCTGGAGAAACAAAACGTTTATTAATATCTGAAATGGAAAAACCAATATCTGACAAGGATGAAGCCGGTTTTATATATGCTTATAGATTGGTCGAAGGTATTTCAATATTATATATATTACGTAATATATTTGTAATTTAATTATTATTTAATAAGATATATATTATATATTTTAGGTCCCTCTTCCCATCATGACCCCAATTGCACACTATATAAAGTTGGACGAACCTCAAATGTCCCTCGTCGATTATATCAATGGTCCAAACATTGTGGTTATACACCTCAATTGATCGAACTTTTCCCCGACGTGAACTTATCAAGTTCATTTTCTTCACAGGAATCAATGTTGGATTCAATTTTTGGGGAACTGAGTTTATCGAATGAAGAAAGTTCGGAAAAACTTTCTAAAATTATTAAATGTAAATATACACATCGAGTTGAACGATTGATTCACATTGAATTAAGTGAAAAATATAGGGCAGATGTAGAGATTTGTTCGGGATGTGGTACTATTCATCAAGAATGGTTTAAAGTAAATGAGTCCTTTGATGATGATAGAAAAAATCATGGGTGGGAAGAGATCAGAAAGGTTATCGTTCATTGGATAACTTATGTGGAAAAAATTTATGGTATAGGGTAAAATCACATGAAAATATAAACTTGTTTCTTTAATTAAAAACAAATATGTATAGAAAAAAATAGATGTATAATTCGGGAGAAACATTTTTAGAAAATCGATTACATGTGAAATACATTTGAAATACATTATTATTATTATTATAGATAGGTTAGCATGTTTCATCTTTGACGCCATGCCGAAATTGTCATGTGATTTAAATAAATGGCACGGGATGTTGACCCTCATCATGTGAGAAGATTTTTTATAAAAAAAGTTTAAGGGGTAGAGATACCCAAGGTATATTTTTAATGACGCTCAAAACCTTTCCAACATTTCTAAATTTAGAAAATAAACAAAAAGTTATCGCATTGGCTACGATAAAACCAATTATGTAAAATAACTTGATCAGGTCGATTACAGGTCTGCTTTATCTTTGTAAATTATTATAAATTGTTTAATTAATTGTATTAATTGTGAATCTAAAGATAAAATTCACCTTGAATATAATCAATGAACAATTCAGTAGATCTGATGATCTAAATGTTAGCCACGCTTCACAGCCCGATCCATCATTTCTATCGCGGCAAAAATTATATTTCTCAAAAAAGCAATGAGATCTGATTGGATCTATAATACATACACCCCTTAACAAACACCTGTTTTTTCCATTCTTGGAATATTATGTTTTTGCTTTAATGTTTGTGGCCGATTATATATTCGGTATTATAGTAACAAATGTGCAAGAAAGTATTACAAGAGTAAAATATCGCGTGGCGGTGTATATAATGTCTTTATTCTTGATTTCCTTTTTCACCCTAATCATCATCTTTAATCGCTTGTTCTCACACAGCCAGTCCGGAAGGCTATGTCAAAGTAAACCACACCACCCTCAAATTTTCTAAGAATATCACCCTCGGAAGTAAATAATGTTTTTACCATTTCGCAAGTCATACTATCAGGTTGGCTTGGACCAAGCCATCTCCGCAGCAATGTGAGAATTATATAATGGCGGCTTTGATATGCGAAATAGGCGTAGATTAATTACTAGTTTTAGTATACATCATTAATGGCTTTGAGTATTTAATTTGTTTGGGGTGGATCAACAGGTATTAATCCTGTGACTCCACACAACATGGAAGATTAGCCACATACATTGTTTGAATATAAAAATATATTTTTGACTAATATTTTAAATATCTTTTTAAGGTCAACAAAAGAAATTGAAATAGTATTCTGAGCGAGAAGTTACTACATTAGGTGATAAATAATGAATAATTCAGAGGGTTAACACAAATAATTTGACAGACATACTTTTACAAGTGGGAATATCAAAGAGAACTTGTTTTATCGGGAATTATTTTAATAAATTTCTTTCTAACAAGAATCAATCTCGAGTAGAAGAAATTGTAATCGTAATCGATTATTAAATATTTGTTTGTTTCTTTACAATCGATTTATTTTTTTTTTGTTTATAGCATAGATTCAACAAGAAATAAGAATAAATTGAATAAATTCAACAAGAAATAAGAATAAATTGAATAAATTCAACAAGAAATAAATTTTTTTTTTTTTTTTTTTTTTTTTTTTTGATTCTAAAATTCAAGAATTTCGATTTTGTATATAAATTAGAGACAGACCTGACTTTATTCTTTTCGTAATGATGATGCCATTTTTTCCATTGTTCACAATACAATTTAGCGAAATCTGATTTTAGAAGATTAAATTTGGGGTCCTAAAATATCCAAAATATCCCCAATTTATTATTTATATTATACAATAAATCTGGGACAGTACAGTAATATGTGTCATGACATCATTAAGATGTTAAAAAAAGAGAAGAGTATAATAATAGTAATTTGCGTTCTTTTTTCAAAAGGAAACAAATAAAATCTTTGGGATTAAAAAAATTTAATATCCACGTGATTATTCGTTGGGTATTTTCTGATTTTATTTTAAATTTAACTTATTCAACTATTTAATTTATTATGTTGTATTGTGTATATATATTGTATATATGAAAATTTTGGATGACTCATTTATAAAGAAATGGATAGAGACAATTTCAACTTTTTCATCTGCATTTTTGTTTTAATGAGCAAATAATTTGTTTCGGAATTTTTTAAATTTTTTCTCTTATTAAAATTCCTTGATAGATTTTATTTATTTATTTGTTATTATGAGAGACCACCTTTAGAATATGCAAGAATTAAGCATTGAATCTCTCATTTGGTGACGATTTTGGATCTAAAATTCCAAAGTGCGTTCTGAGAATTTTTTTCACTCAAAAACTGTAATCACAACATGCTGCGCCACAATCACAAACTGTCGTCTTTATCTTGTGTAATATCTTCCACATGGAATGAGTACAATGATGTCACAATTTTTTTTTGGGGTAAATAAAAGATTTTTTATTTTTTAAGAACTTATTATGGTGTTGCACACGAGGCTCAGTCACACGCCTTTATGCACTTTATCACGTTACAGAAAACATAAAATTCTCCAAATTGTAAATTTAATGTAATTTAAATATATGGTGTGGTTAAGATAATGAATATAAATATGGTATTCCATTTTTTTTTTCACGGAGGCAATATTCCTTTTTCCTTCTTCCTTCAAAGAAAACACATAAAATATAAAATATGTATATTTCATTTTTTGAATTCTTCCTTTTTACCCTTCGTGATTATAAAATCAAATTAAGACACGTTAATAATTAAACGAATTTGGGGAATATTAAAAAAAAAAACTTTAGATGATATCATTTATATTTTATAAAGTAAAAATCAATTTTTATTGAAGATGATGCAGCTGACTTACAGGTGGCTGAGATAGTCTAAAAGTTTCGGGTAATGTTAACGATGATCTTTTTTCCTACCCTTTTTTTTTTACTTTATATTTTGTGAAACCTAACTACAAAAAAAATATACTGCGCATTATTTCGGGGGATCTCGGTAAATAATTTTTTTTTTTTTTAGAAAAAAGCTTTAACAAAAAGTGGCTTTGATTGACTTATACATTATAGTATATGTTTGATGGAAGTGAGATATATATACGAAGTCTGAGATTTTAATTGGTGAACGGGTTATATTTTGCTTTCCATATTGAGAATAATTTTTTAATATGAAAAAAAAAATTGTGATATTTATTATTCTTTCAAATTTGGATATTGTGCATAAAAAATTACGGAAGCATGTATGCTTGCTTTTATGCAGAAAATCTCTTTTGAGCGAGCGAAAACTCATCTTCATGTATAGAAAATCAGGAATTTTACTAAACTCTGTTATTAACCATTTGTTTTTAAAGTTTAAAGAGTTCATCTCTTATTTTTATTTTTTCTTTAAAAAAGATTTTTTTTTTAAATTATCCTTTCACCTATAACTGACTGATAATTATAACTGATTCATAATAATAATAATAATAATAATAATAATAATAATAATAATAATAATAATTTAATATAATAAATAAACAGATAATAATGATAAATAATGATTATTATTAATTGGGAAGCAAAAAAAAAAAGATACACCATTTTGAATATATCGGTATATGGACCCTGCTTTTTTTATCTGAATATTTTATGTATATGCGTTCATCTGTACAAGAGTTGTACGAAAGTATGTATTTTTCTTTCTATCATAATAGAATCATAACTTTATCATGACTTTTATCAATATTCAGGCAACTCTGTACAAGTTACGTAATTTAGTCTATCAATATACGCGTGTTAGAGTTTAACCATGCTCATTTAATGAAACTTCTTTCAAATAAATAAATAAAGAAATTGATTTGAGTTTTGTGTTGTATTTAACTATACTGAAGATGATGATGATCACAAGAAAAAGAAGAATTATCATTATTTCTCGTAAACAAAAGAATTCTTTCATTATTTTTTATTGTTTATAAATAGTGCTCATAATGTTTATAATGTTTATAATGTTTTAATGTTTAGTATATTGATGAAAATAAAAGAAGGTTTGTATCCTTTCCGTAAATTCCGAGTATCGGCCCTTTTTTTTGATGCTCAATACTAAATGAAGGTCTATTAAAAATTCTGTGCTAATTGGTACAAAATTATGCTCATATATATCTTTTTATATCTTTTATATTATCTTTTATTTTTATTATCTAACAATTTTTTATTGTATTTACTTTATTTATTGTATTGATTATTGTATTTTTATTTATTATTGTTTATTTATTGTATAATAATTTTTTCTTTAATTTAACCAAAATTTGTGAATTCGTGTCTCAAAAAGAAAAATTTCCTTTATTCGTAATTTCATTCTGGCTTTATAGTATTAATAGGTTCATATAAGTACTGCAACCTTTATAGTAATAATAGGATTCATATATAGTATTACATCTATTGTTAAAAAGCCTCTTTACTTTGGACTTTAAAAAAATTGGCGCATCAAAAAAAAAAAAAAAAAACCAAATTATGGATGTACTTTTATTCTCCTGCATTACTGTAAATGGTTTGCTATAATGATTTTCTATTATTTTTATTTTTATTATTTTTATTTTTATTATTTTTATTATTTTTATTATTTTGATTTTTATTATTTTTATTTTTATTATTTATTTATTTTATTATTTTATTTATTTTTATTATTTTATTATTTATATTGTAATAAATTAAATTATTTCATATCTTCCTATAATAAGTTATAATAAGTTATAATAAGTTATAATAAGTTATAATAAGTTATTACACTATGCATTTTACATTCTATCAACAAATGTTTATTTTATTAAATGTTTATTTTAGCTGTATATTTTAAATGTTTATTTTAAATGTTTATTTTAAATGTTTATTTTAAATGTACATATTTTAGATATATTTAGATATATTTATATACATTTTACATTTTTTATTAGTAATCTGATTAAATTTTTGATAGTGTCAAAAACGTTTCTTCACTTCAGTATTTCCAGATTATTGATGTTTTATCATTAAAATTTTTAATATAATGTTTATTAATATTGTGTTATCCACAATTTAAAATTGATAAAAATAAAAAATGCATAAATCTAGAACGCGTATTTATCATCATCGCGCATATATTCAGTTTTATTTATCAATAATATGTTTGATATTATGTTTGATATTATGTTTGATATTATGTTTGATATTATGTTTGATATTATTCATATTGTGTTCATTTCGTCAGTATTTCGTTTATCCACGTTCATCACATATGTTATTCTTTGAATTTCTTTAAAAAACTGATTTATTATCATCACATCATTTACTTTATTTACTTTGCATTGCCACAAAAAAAAATATTTAAAAATATTCCAAAGAACAAATAAAAAGTTGTCCAAACAAAAAAACCATCACTGCCACTCTCTATAAATGATTAAAATGATTGAAATTATGCTAATTCGTCATAGAATTATCAATTATCATAGAAGAATTATTATTATCATTATGAATGAGCCACCTTGTACACTAATTAGATTCTTCCGTTATTTTTTTTTTTTTTATACAACACCGCCCTTCGTATAGTGTCCGAATAACCCTCCCCCCATTTATTTGTCCCCAAAATAAAATTATAAAGAGGGTGTTTCTTATTATATTTCCGTACTTTCCGACCCTTTGATCATTCCATCGCCGCCATCAAGTCAGTCAAATAAGTGTTTATTGTAAAGTTATTTATATACATATATTTATACTAGCATAACTTTTGTTACTCTGTTTTTTTTATATTATTATAATTAACAGTTAATAAACTACTTTTTAATTATAAATAATCAGGGCTTTTGTACACTGGCTTTTACCGGCTGCAAAAAAAATTTTTTCAATCGGGCAAAACACTGTCGTGTTTTTCTCTCTTGAACTCTTTGCTTTTTTTTTTTTTTACGTCTTCCGCACCGACTTATCATTGTGCGAGGTTCATTTATTTGTCCTGTGTTGTAGTATCTATTATTCTTTTGTTTTTTCTTTTATAACGTGCCTACGACGACGTAAAAAATTTTTTAACGTAACAAGCAGCCTCAGAAAAGTTATATATTCAAAAAAAATACTACGTTTAATTTACTTTTTAAATCTTGTCTCGCCGACTTGATTAATTTTACGAATTTACGATATAAAACCAATTGGTTTGTACTCGAGTCATTTTAATTTTAATTTTTTTTTTTATTTATTTTTATTTAAAAAAAAAAAAAAAAAACCTATTCATAATATTTTAAAATCATTTAAAACTTTTTTCACATTCAGAATATTCCTTATACTTCAGACAATAGGTGAAATATCTTTTTCAAAGATTTTTATGATTCAAAGGCTTAAAGTTTTTTTTTTATTTACTGCGCTAATATTATTATTATTATATTATTATTTATGATATTATTATTATTATTATTATTATATTATTTTGGTGTCGAAATATTTAATTTTTTACCAAATTTCTTTAATTTTAATTTTTTTTCTAATGTATGCGCTGTTTTTGTTTTTTGTGTTTTTAGCAACATCATGTTACCAGTAGCACCACATATGCATTCAAATTATAACAATTTTCACCATTTCGGCACAGCCGGAGGATATCCGCCTCATGCGTAAGTGAATATATTTTTAAATATCATTTGTCAAATCTATTTTTTTATAGTTATACCTACAGATGCAAGGATTTTTATCCCTTCTTCCCCTCCCCATTATCTATTATTAATCTGGTGTGTATCTAGTCTCAGATATCATCCAGAAGTATATCCGGCAACATTGTTAGTACTTTTAAAAAATTTTAGCGACCAAATTTTCCGAAATTATGTTCTTTGATTAATAATGCTGTTTCAAAAAAAAAAAATAATAATAATAAAATAAAATAAAATTTCCCAACCAGTAGTCCTCCGCCTCCACCTCCAACTTATAAACCAGAAATTCATGAAAATCATTCCAATTCCTCACTAATGAATCACAATCAATTAATGCCCTCGACAACTCTTCCTTCCGTAAGTCCTGTCCCGGTATCATCGCAACCTTCCCTTAGTCCAATCACCTCACTAAATGGGGGTAGTAATGGTAATGACTATCATATGTCACATCACATGCAACATCATCAGAATAATGCTCCAAGTGCTGCATATCATCATTCTCCACCTCTTGAACATGCTCAACAACCAAATCAAGAAGTTTCAAATTATAGTAGTAGTGTTACATCTGTTAGTATGCCTTCCCCACCTGCAAGTATTCCTCCAAGCTCCTCGTATGTGTAATTTCTTTTCTTTTTTTTTCTTCTTTTAATTCAAATTGATCGTCTGGAGATGATTTAACTTTTTTTTTGATGGTATACATTTAGTAACTTGCGTTACGAAATAATTCTTGAGGCACCAACTGCGGCTGCTCAACGTATTGATGAAACACCTATGACCTATCTTAATAAAGGTAATAAAAATCAAATAAATAATATTTTATCTATATACAATCGATTTACTACTTATAATAATATATATAATGGATAATTTCGTTCTTAGGTCAATATTACGGAATAGTTTTACAAGATCAAGAAAGATTTGATGGAGAACTTACCAGTACTGTCAAAGTCATGTTTCATGATGATGCTCACCGAAAAATGGCATCTACTTATTGGAGTTTTTGGTTAACACAACAAGCGTCACCCAAGACAGCTAGAGCTATTGATATTGGTATGTTTTGTGAAATTGTCACATTATTATTATTATTATTATTATTATTACGACGTTTAGATAATAATTTTATATTTATTTATATTTGGAAATATTTTATTTAGACAAAGCTGCGTCCACTGGAATTAATAATGTGGAGACAAAAACTTTTGATCGTGTACAATTTCGATGGCACGGAAAGAAAGGAGCAAAGATTTTCATACGTTTCAATTGCCTTTCGACGGATTTCTCAAGGATAAAGGGGGTTAAAGGTATTCCCTTAAGAATCCACGTGGAAACAAAATACGAGAATAGTGGAACAAGTACAAATATAGAAAAGTCGTTTGCTAAAGTTAAATTATTCAGAGATAAGGTAAAAAAAAATATATTTATTAAAAGGTGTTTTTTATAGTTCTTTTTTTTTTTTTTTGATAAATTTATTAATAAAAATTTTTAAATACTATTTCTTAAGGGAGCTGAACGTAAAAACAAAGATGATCAAAAACATCTTGAAAAGATGGTTGAAAAAATGCGAGGTAAATTTTCAAGTGATATTAATTTCTTATTTCAAGAGTTTTAATTTTAATTTTATTATGTATTTTATTTTTATTCATTTATTTTTTTATTTATTTTTATTTTTATTTATTTATTTATTTATTTATTTATTTATTTATTTATTTATTAATTAATTATTTACTTTAGGAAAATCATCACAAGAACCAACATCACCAATGATCATGATGTACGCGCCTCCAAATCCCATGACCGTATTTACAGAAAGTACGGGTAATAACGATGCTTCCGACGATGAAGAAGTTCAAAGTCTTTCAGAGACCTTGAATAGTCTTGATCCGGAGGTTGAAGGTGGTGAACTTATGACACTTCAATTGGGAAAACGCAGAAGATTTTCAATGGGTCCAGATTTTTTGGAACCTTTAGATTGTGATCCTACGTATATTCCTCATTTACGGAAACGTCGTGCAGGTTGGTTTTTTCCCCTTTATTTTTTTAAAATTTTCAATCTTTAAATCTTTAAAATGGTGTTGACCAAACTCGTTTGTACTCTTTTTTTTTAAAAAAAAATTTAGTGTTATGTATTTATGTTAAACTACCGGGTGAATCCGCATATCGTGCCGTTTATCTCAATCATCTTACTGTTCAAGATCTCATAGCTAAACTTACTGATAAACTCTCCGAGAAAATTGATCTTCAAGGGCAATCAATCACAAATATTATTAGATGCAGCACTAAAAGGAATATAACTGTTCGTTTTGATGACGAATCTGTTCATCAAATTGAAGATGAACAAGATATGGAAGTCGAAGTCCAGGGTGGACAAGACGGAACGCTGCATTTAACATTAAAATATTAAAGTATACAGGATTTCATTACTTATTTCTATTAATGCTGCTTTTTATTATTTGACAAATTCTATAATGAATAACCTTAATGAATATTATTATTTTTTTTATTGAGAATTTAATTTTAAAAAAAAAAAAAATTACTTGAAATTACTTGAATCTGCTATTTTTTTTTCTTATTTAATCCCTCTTTCAAATAATTTTTATAAATATTTAAAGAGAGGGACGGGGGGAAAAACCTTTATATAAATATTTATTTTATTTTTTAATCCCTCATGTACAAAATATTTTCACATGTTTTATATATTTTTTCATTTTTTTTTTTCTTTTTGCATATTTTTCGCATTTTGTAACATTTCATTACCAATTTCCTTTCGACATTGTAACATTTTCCTTTTTTTCTCCATATTCTTTCTCTCTTTTTCTCGCTTTTCTTTTTTTTAAAAAAAAAAAAATTTTGGGGGGTGTTTGACTGGCTTAGTATCAAAAAAAAAAAGGTTGGATTTGGTCAAAATATTATTACTGTTTTATTATTATTGTTATTATTATTTGTTTGTTATTAAGTTTATAGGGCAAAAAAAAAAAAACTAAAAATTACAAAATAATACACAAAAGAGGTGGTGATGGGTATATGTTTATATCTAAAAAAATGATATTTGTATATACAATTTGATTCAGTTTATGTAACGCGAAATCTAATTAAAGAGAGGAGAGTAATTTTTATACGGAGGTGCGGCGATCATATATAGTTAATATTTATATATTAACTATTGTGAATATTTTTAATATATTTCAAAAAAAAAAAAATATAAAATATTTGGGTTTATTATAGCGGAAAAATAATTAAACATTTTTATTATCAAAAAATATCGATATTTTTTTTTTTATTTTTTATAAAATTCATAACGATTTTAATTTAAATGAATAATGATTGAATGTTACAATAATAATAATAATAATAATAATAAATTTATTCGGGCACTAAATTATCGTTCGTCATAAGATTTAAGGTACTATTAATACTCATATCCAAATCTCTTCCTACAGGTCCAAATGTCGTACTTTCGAATAATTTAATTGTTAAACTACTCAAAAAACAAGGAATAGAATTACGTTCAACCACCCAATATTTAATCAGACTATCTAGGCTTTTGATATATTCGGTATTCCCTCCTCCAATCAATTGCATAGTCCCACAATCATCATCATCTGAAGTAAAAACAAAAGAATGATCATCTTGTTCGGAATACATAGATGTTAATCGAACTCTACCATTCTCAAGAAATTCTAATTTGTAACCTAAAAGACTGTATATAGCTTCCCTAAATTCTTGAGCTTTTGCCTTCCATGCCTTTTAAAATAAATAATTATGTTTGTTATCACAATAAATATTAAATTTAAATGAAGCAAAAGATATTTCTCATTTATTGAAATTCATACCTCTAATAGTCTTGTAATACGTATTTCTTTCTTCGCTATTTGTTCTATAAGTTGGTTATTTTCTCCTTCCAAATTGAAAAAACTCTGAATTGGTATAACATTATTTTCGTCATAATCCTCTTCAAGTTCTTTATCGTGTTTTAGATGACTTTTTAATCTTTCAAGTAACTGCTGATTTTCAGTTTTCAATGCTTGTAAAGCACTTCGTCGAATAGCATAATCAGTTGTTGATGGATTTTCTTTCATTTCAAGAAGCTTTACACATAAAAAAAAAAGGGAACATGAAAAATTTTGTTATTTCAAAGTGAGTCACTATACAATAATTAAAATTATCACTTACTTTTGTACATTCCTGATTATATTCACCTCTTCCAACAGCATGTTGCAAAGAAACAACTTGTTGGTCAAGCGATGAAACTTCTTTCTTCAATGAAGAGTTTTCATTTTTAAGTTCCTTAATTGCTTTACAATTATAGAATATTTTCTTATAAGTATTACTTTTTTTTGATATTAAATTATAAAATTCAAAGATCACTTACTTTCTTGTAAAAGTTCATTTTGCTTTATCAATTCAGCTGAATGAATTTTCAACTCATCCTGTTCAAGAACAGAAATTTGATTTTGCAAAGAAAATATCTCTTTTTTTAAATTAGCATTTTTATTCTCCAAGGTAAAGTTAACTATGAGGATAATAAAGATCGTAAAAATATTATAATAATTAGTTTATAAAAATTACATTGCTGTATATACATCTTATATTCCTATTATTACTTACTTGATTGTAATTCTTCATTTCGTTGAAGTATTTGAGCTGAATGAAAGCCCGTTTCGGTTGAATTATGGGATTCTGTTTTTTCAACTTTTACAGTTTCAAGTGTAATTTCCAATTCTTTTTTGTATTCTGAGAGCATCTTTTCCAGAACTTGGATGTGCTCGGATTTTTGACTATCATAATTACCAGTTTTCAAATGCTTCTCTTCGTCATCATATGATTTCTTTTTTTTTTTTATGATAAATAATAATGTTTATTTTAATGTAATATAATTGATTTCAATAACAAATCAACCACTCACCAAGGTTCTCGTAAGCATCTCAACTTCCATTTGAAGTAAGTTTTTGGTCTTTTTAGATGCTTCAAGTTCATTAGAAAATTTATATTCCGTGGCCTTGCATCTTTTGTCCAACTGCATAATCTACATCATTTTTTTTTTTTTAAAAAAAAATATTATTTTAATAAATATAAAACTGTAAAACAAAAAAAAATAAAAACAGAAAAAAAAAATATTATTGATTATACTTACTTTGCTTTCACATTCAGATATCACTATATCTTTGCTTTTAATTTGTTCCTCCAAATTACGTCCTCTTTCTTGTAACATTTCGATTTCAATTCTTCTTGATGCAAGTTCTTTACATAGATTATAAGCCGAATTTACATTGATTATATCTTTTTCTTTATCGAGATAACTTGTCCTATTTCAGATTTAAGTCTTAGCAGAAATTCATGAAATTTTTACATAGAAATTAAAAAGTAATAAACATTAATACCATTCAACTTTTTCCCTTTTCAGCATAATGTTTTCGGCTTCTAATTCTGCGGCTTGACGACGAAGTGAATTCAAATTAGAAAGTTGATGTTCATAAGATTTCACTTTTTCATCGAGTATTTGAATGCTTGGAGATAAATCTCTCAAACGTTTCAATTCTGAGGTAAGTTCTAAATTATTTTTTTCCAAATTCCGTATGCGTTCTGATTGTTCTGTAATTTTAAAAGTTATTAACAAGAGTAATGAAAGAAGTTATGAAAATTTGATTAAACTAAATACCTTGATTAAGTTTTTTCAGATTTGGTATGTCACCTAATTGAGTTGATATATTAAATTCCTCCTGCAACTTTTGTTGAGTCTCAGCTAATTGCGCCTGAGCTTGGTTCAAAAGTGCCTGTCGAGAAACAGATATTTCGCACTGTCTCTGAATCTATTAATGTAAATATGAAATTGAGATTAATTTATGTGATATTTAATATTATTAGACAAAATTAAATAAACATCACCTGTTCATTTTGATTTTCAAGTTTATGATCTAAAATTTTTTTTTCTGAATTTAATGCCTCAATCGTTCGCTGATATTCACTTTCCTTTGTTCTTCTATCATTCTGAACATTTTGTAATTGTTGTGTTAATTTGGAAATTTCGTTTCTGAGCTTATTTGATTCACGAGCATAATTTTGCTGAATTAGAGATGGAAAAATTAATATAATTAAAAATAATTAAAAAATGCAATCACAAAATACATAAATAAAATGTTCATAATTACCTTATTCAACGAGTACTCCGCCTCTAAACGCTCTAATTTTTTCGATGTTTCCAACTCACGATCATGAAAGAACTTGCAATCGCTTTTCGATTTCTATCGGATCAAAGAATTATATAATAATCATGAAGGTTTTCTAAACAAAGAAATTAATTGCTAACTTCCTCCCCCCTCCCAAAAAATAGTAATTACTAACCTCGATAGACAAATTTAATTCCTTAATTTGAAGTTCCATACTCTGTTTATTAGTCTCTAATCTAGCGATCTTTCTTTCAAAATCATTTTTAGTGTGCTCAAGAGCAGTGATTTTGAGACGAGATTCCGTTAAATCATTGACTAATTTCGGGGATGTAGTATTAAATGATCCTTGGGAGAATATTGAATCTAAGTAAAATTGTAAGATAAAATATCATTCTTTAAATTCTTTGAGAGAATAAAGATAAATAAAAACTATTCTTTACCTTGTAATCCCTTAAGTTCTGGAATAAAGTTAGTAGTGTTTCTTGAAGGGGTGAATGGACTAAAGTCTCTTGCGAAAAAATCATTTTCCACCTTAGTTCTCTGGAATTTAAGCGAAAAATTTTAGGATAAAAAAAACCTTGTTGTTCTAATAGTCGATTGTTGAGTAAATTATCTATGATCTATTTTGAAGAAAAAAAAATTACCTTAAAAGGACGGTCGCTAGTTTCAAATTGACTATCTGGTAAACAGTCGTTAAATATACTTGGAATGTTGGCAGAAGACGGAGTAGAAGTCAAAAAAGGATTCTCTTCGTCAGCTAGATTGTATTGTTGAGATTGTCTTTCAGCTGATCGTTTATAAAGAGAATATGACATCTTGAAGATATTCGATTCATAAACAAAAAAGAGTTTTTTTTTATTATTATTCACTTCTAATCACGTGATTTAATTTAATCCCGTGATATGCAAAAATATCGTTTTTCAACTAACGCAGATCTCTCAAAACGATGCCTTTATATATCTCTGCAGCAAAAGTATCGTTTTTGATTATTTTTGATGCGTCTATGTTAATATAATTTTCACGTGATTTATAGAATAACAAAATTCATGATGTATAGGTATATGTATCAAAAAAATAACCATAGGTGTCTCAAAAACGATACTTTAGCACCATAGGTATATCAGAAAACGCTTGTGTTTTTCACATGACTTTTCACATGATATATTTATGATCGGCTGTTAAATTATGGACCAATAAAATTTTAGATTTTACGTGAGGTGAAAAATATTTCTGGTGATTAGATCTCTGCATGCATCGCAGTTAACCAGTTAACATAATCGATGATGCATAAAATAAATGTGGAAAAAAATTTTTTTTCATATAAGCCTACATCCAAAAATAGTCGAGAGTAAAAAAAAAAGTTCCTTTATCTCAGTTTATATAAAAAAAAAATTTCTTGGGCATTCTAGAAAAAAAAATCGATGGACAAAGGAAAAAAATGTATATGACTTTCCCTATTTTGTGTTTCGATAAGAATTAAAGATTTTGCACTAAATAAAATTAAAAAAAAAAAAAAAAAACGCGCATAATTCAAAGAATATGTTGTCGCACCGAATTTAAATTTCCTTTCTTGAGTTCGATAAGGAAAGAAGAAGTCGTGTTCTGAATTTCGGTTTCGCAACAAAGAAAGTCTTACTATTTTCACAGGGGTCCTTGTAAATTTAAATTTTTTTGTTATTGTGTTCGTTCTGCACTGTATCATGCTGTTATTTACTTTATTTATTTATGTTACTTTTTTTTCCTGTACACTGTAATAAGTCATGGTTATTTATATATAAATGGTTTCTTTTTTGTAAAATCTCGTTCTCTACATTTTCTAATTCAATTTCTGCGCGACTATATCGCCATTCATAGTAATGACAATTATTATTGGATTTTTATCTAAAAAACACGAGTTATGGCGATTTCCGATCGGCATTTGCAGTTTGTATTAGAACCTCCAATCATGTAGGTATCAATTATTTTTATCCCCTCTTTTCAATAAAAAATGATTTCTACAAAGTAATATTATACAAATATAGATTTTCCGAAAATAAAATAAAATATAAATTATTTAAATTATTTAGTATTATCTTACTTTATAACTATTGTTTTTTTTTATCGTATTATAATGTTTAAATTAAACCAAAGTCGCCACTTCTTGAAAAAAAAAAATGCTTTAAATTATTTATAAAATAATTTTATCTTGTGACTACCCTTCCTATAGTTACAGGTATCGTTTGGAGGTCTCCCAACAACCCATAAGGGCAAGAATGTGCGGTTTCGGGGATAAAGATCGCCGTCCTATTGACCCACCTCCTGTTGTTAGACTTTTCGTGTCTGCCGTCGATGGAACTTCAGTACCCGAAAGGTTTGATATTTATTATTTAATATTCCTTTTGTGAATTTATTTTAATCAACTTTACTTGTTATTTTTAATTACAAATAAAAATAAATAAAATTGATGATAATAGTTCTGTAGACCATTCTATGATGATTGTTCATGCTGGACTTTGGTCTGAAGATTCAACGGAAGAACGCAGTCTAGTAATCAATCCTTCTTCTATTCCAACTCAATCGACTGGTCCTAGTTCAACCGTCATGTCACTTAATGCACCATCAAGCACAAGAAATCTTATGGGTCATTGTACTTCGTCAGCATATGTATTAAATAATCATATGGGTCAACAAGGAATTTATTTTATTTTTCAAGATTTATCCGTTCGCACCGAAGGTTCTTTTACATTAAAGTTTTCTTTTTGTGACGTTAAGGAACTACTTGTAAGGTGAGATTTTATATTTCCATTTATATCCTTTCATTGATCATTATTTACTTTTTTAGTGTTAAAATAAAAACCGCGGTAATATCATTCCATTGTATTTCTGATTTGACATTAATCTTCGAGTTTGGTGTCACTATTTACCTGCTGCCTTTGATGGTAAAGTTACATATGTTAGTTTATTCCTTCATTGCTAATTGTATCAGTAGGTCACTCAACGGATTTCCAAACACTCGTGGAAGTGTTGCAGCTGAAGTGTACAGCGCTCCTTTTAAGGTATATTCAGCAAAGAAATTCCCGGGTATGACAGGTGCGGAAAATTAAAGTTTTCAGGTTTAAAACAAGTATTTTCAATATTATTACCTGTTTTAATTCTATTATGATTATTGTTATATTAGAATCTACTGCATTATCTAAAGCTTTCGCAAAACAAGGAATTAAAATTCCAATTCGCAAAGAAGCTCGTTACCGTAAAGCAAATAGCGACGAAATTCGTGACTCTCCAAACGAAACCACATTAGAAGCTTCCTCTTCAGTGTCATCTACCAATATTAGTAATGCTCCTAAAGTTACCGATTCTTCTACTGACCACGAAGGTCGTACAGAAGACAAACGTGATCATCCATTGTCATCGGGCGAGGATGATAATACGGTCGATGAAGCAGGAGAGGATGGAAAAGGTAAGTCAATTGCAAAACGGCAAAAAAATTCCAAATAAATATGCTTATGACTAAGGTGAAAATAAAACAAAAAAAAAAAAAAAAGATTCTAATTGAAAAATCGAGCTATACCGTCTCCCTTTGTCCCCAATCTCTTTAAAAAATATGCATTCAGCTTTCTTCTAAAAATTTATATGGATTTCAATATCGTTAGAGTATTTAAGATTAATTTGTCAATTAGGTATGTCAAAAATGCAAATATTTGTTTAATTCGTATACACTAAAAGACTTTTACAAACTCATTCTTTTGATAGTAGGCTTTCTTTTCCACAACCTTTTATATGAGTTGTACAATTTTTCATTCTCGCATATTATGAATATAAATAATATATAGATCATGTGTATGCAAATTCCCTCTATTTTTGTGCATTCTAATATAAAAATCGTTGATTATGTTTCATATAATTTAATTTAAATCATACATATAGCTACACAAAGACATAGACTAAATATTTCATAAAAGTGCAAAAGACTTATTTCATACAATTAGAAAATATTGCATATTGATAATTATTAATGTTTTGAATTGCCATTTTTTTTTAATTAAATAGACAAGTACATCAGAAGATAATATATTCTTGAAGATTATTTGAATCTAGATAATTAGCACTTAAATGATTAATAAAGAATAATGAATATATGTATTACTTTGCCTTTAAAATTTCGCAAGAATAATATCAAGCCTTTCGTCTGTTGATTCTTTATTTAAAGCAATCCCCAAAAGAATATAATTTTCTGAAACTTCGGATTCTTTATAATGTATCTGTGATGTATTTAGTGTTACACTTAAAAAAAAATGAGTATCAACCATTTTTCTTATGATTTTTCATTTTTTGAATTTTGTTACAAAAGATTCTCTAAAATTATTTTTATAAACAAAAAGATTATCTATAATTAAGTCATGTTTATTTATTGCAAAGTATTAAATTATTAAACATAGTAACAAATATACACTCCCTAGCAAAAGTATTTGTGGAATGAAAATAATTGCTAAAATTAAAATGCTAATTGTGGCACAATGAGTGATCTAAATTGTACAAACTTTTTAAATTCCCCTAAACTATCTTCCCCAGTATCACCAGAAATTTTTCTACCCCCCACATGATATTTTACGTAAATTTCGGGGGTTAGGGTTAGGTTTGTCAGGGGTAACATATTTATCACCGTGTGTCACATCCTTCGAATATCGATTTTTATTAAATATCCTGGAGATTGTCATCCAACATTTATCATCCTATTTTCTTCACGTGAATATAACATGTAAGTCACCTGCCAATTATGCAAAAGTTTCATTTTTGATAGATCAGGGGTTATTTTTTTGATATACTTTGATGTACCTCCTGAATTTGATTATTTTTTTAATAGATTTCAATGGTACCCATTTTTTTGATTATTTTTTTGATTATTTTTTTGATACTTTTTAATAAAAAAAATATTTTTTTCAACTTTATGTTTTCATTTTGATATTATTTATTTTATTATTTAATGTAATTTTATATATTATTTATTTTTATTAACATATATACACATTTTATATTCGAATATTTATTATATTAATATAATGAAATTATAATAAAAACAATATTACAAACTACATTTAATTTTTAATAATATTTAAAACATATTGGTGTGCAGAATATAATTTGCAAGCAAATTCTAATTCATTAAATTCTTGATTTGTAAATTATAATTCAGAAGAAATAATAATTAATTTAAAAAAATTATTATTAACTTGTTCAAATTGTAATTTGAAAGAAATAATAGATCCAAAATTGTTATTGACTTGAGATAATTCAGAAGAAATAATAGATTCAAAATTGTTATTGGCTTGAGATAATTCAAAAAAATTATTATTAGCTTGTTCAGATTCCTGAATTGTGAATTGGATTAATTCAAAAGAATTATTATTAATTTGTTCAAGTTCTTTGATTGTAAATTTGAAATTAACAATATCTAGTTCAGAAAAATTATTATTAGTTTGTTAAGTAATAAAAGATAAATCTATTGTTATTCTAAATTGTTGTAAATAATAGAGTTTTTTTTTGATTTTTTTGAAAAAATTTTGAGATTATTCTGTATACAAAAAAAAATTAAATAAAATTTTAAATAAAAATAAAAATTTATTTAATAAATTATTAAATACAGTGGCTCACAAAAGTATTACAACACTTGTTTTTTTGTCTTTAAAAAATTATACAGCCTGAACGATCAATTTTAGAATAATAGTTACTAAACTCATTTTAGTCCTTGAGTTTTGAAGATTTTTTTGAGATGTTTTTGATATTAAATTAATAATCCCGATTTTGCGTAAACAGACGATCTATATGGTGAATTGTCACTTAATAAAATTTCAATTGTGAATAAAATTTTATGCAGAATGGTTATAGCCAAGGTTATACATATTCCCAAAATTGATTTTGGATTTTTGAGGTATTTTGACTTTTTGAGATTTATGCAAAATCTATTCTATATATGGAAGTAAAAAAAGTACCTAGTTATATGTATCTTTAATCAAAGAATAAATCTGGGTAGTCAAAAAATTTTGAATTTTAAGTAAAATAATTTCATCTTCTATGAAAAACTATTTTAACTTTTTTCTTCGAAATTACAATTTCGGGGCTCCAAAATAATTTTGCGTGCAATATAGTCAAGGTGATTATAAGGTTAATAGCCCTTCCTGAGGAAATCTGGTATATCAAATTTCATAACAATTGAATCAGTGGTTATCGAAAAATTAGCCCTTGAAAATTGAAAATTTACTAATAAAATAATTAAAAAAATTTTTTTATTAGTAAATTTTCAATTTTCAAGGACTAATTTCTCGATAATCACTGATTCAATTGTTATAAAATTTGATATACCAGATCTCCTCGGGAAGGGCTATCAACCTTATAATCACCTTGGCTATAACCATTCTGCATAAAATTTTATTCACAATTGAAATTTTATTAAGTGACAATTTACTATATAGATTGTCTGTTTACGCAAAATTGGGATTATTAATTTAATATCAAAAATATCTCAAAAAAATCTTCAAAACTCAAGGACTAAAATGAGCTTAGTAACTATTATTCTAAAATCGATCGTTCAGGCTGTATAATTTTTTAAAGACAAAAAAACCGGTGTTGCAATTATACATCATCAGGAAATTTTTGGAAATAAATAAATTCAAATATATTTGAACTGAATATATTCAGATATATTTGACCACCCACATATTTATCTGCATTAAATATTCAAATTTATTCAGATAAATATGTAAATATATTTGTATATATTTGTTTATTTGAATTTATCCAAATATATTTTTCAAATATATTCACATATATTTGTGTATTTGAATTTATTCGGATATATTTTTCAAATATATTTGTATATACAGTTGAATCTGTATATAAGCATACTGTTGGGCTGACAAAATTTTATACATATAGACAGGTTATACATATATAGGTTTTATGATGTCACCAAAAAAAATATAATATAAAAATTTGTAAAAATTATTTTTTATTAATAAAATTGAATTAATATTTTTTTAAATGAATTAATTATATTATTTAT